AAGAACTGGAAAAAACTGGGAAGAGTCGGAAAGAACCGGAAAGAACTGGAAAGAACCGGAAAGAACTGGAAAGTACTGGAAAGAACTGGAAAGAACTGGAAAGAACCGGAAAGAACCGGAAAGAACCGGAAAGAAACAGAAAGAACCGATCAGAACCGGAAAGAACCGTAAAGAACTGGAAAAACCCGGAAAGAATCCGAAAGAACAGGAAAGACCCGGAAAGAACTGGAAAGAACCGGAAAGAACCGGAAAGAGGCGGAAAAAGCCGGAAAGAACCGGAAAGAGCCGGAAAGAACCGGAAAGAACCGGAAAGAACCGGAAAAAACCGAAAGAACTGGAAAGAATTGGAAAGAACCGGAAAGAACCGGAAAGAACTGGAAAGAACCGGAAAAAACCTGAAAAAACTGGAAAGAACCGGAAAGAACTGGAAAGAACTAGAAAGAACTGGAAAGAATTGGAAAGAGCCGGAAAGGACCGGAAAGAACCGGAACGGACCGGAAAGAACTGGAAAGAACCGGAAAGAACTGGAAAGAACTGGAAAGAAAGAACTGGAAAGAATTGGAAAGAATTGGAAAGAACTGGAAAGAACTGGAAAGAAGTGGAAAGAACTGGTAAGAACCGGACAGAACCGGAAAGAACTGGAAAGAACTGGAAAGAACTGGAAGGAACTGGAAAGAACCGGAAAGAACTGGAAAGAATTGAAAAGAACTGGAAGATCCGGAAAGATCCGGAAGAAACTGGACAGAACCGGACAGAGCTGGAAAGAACTGGAAAGAACTGGAAAGAACTGGACAGAGCCGCAAAGAACCGGAAGGAACTGGACAGAACCGGACAAAGCTGGAAAGAACTGGAAGGAACCGGAAAGAACCGGAAAGAAGAGGAAAGAAGCGGAAAGAAGAGGAAAGAAGCGGAAAGAAGCGGAAAGAAGCGGAAAGAAGCCGAGAGACCCGGCCCCGGAAAACCGGAAAGAACCGGAAGGCACCGGAAAGGACCGGAAAGGACCGGAAAGAACCGGAAAGACCCGGAAAGAACCGGAAAGAACCGGAAAGAAGTGGAAAGAACCGGAAAGAATCGGAAAGAACAGGACAGAACCGGAAAGAACCGGAAAGAACCGGAAAGGACCGGAAAGAACCGGAAAGGACCGGAAAGAACCAGAAAGAACCGGAAAGAACCGGAAAGAACCAGAAAGAACCAGAAAGAACCGGAAAGAACCGGAGAACCGGAAAGAACCGAAAAGAACTGGAAAGAACTGGAAAGAATTGGAAAGAACCGGAAAGAACCGGAAAGAACTGGAAAGAACCGGAAAGAACTGGAAAGAACCGGAATGAACCGGAAAGGACTCGAATGAACTGGAAAGAACTGGAAAGAACCGGAAAGCAGCGGAAAGAAGCGGAAAGAAGCGGAAAGAACCGGAAAGAACCGGAAAGAAGCGGAAAGAAGCCGAAAGACCCGGAAAGACCCGGAAAGAACCGGAAAGAACCGGAAGGGACCGGAAAGGACCGGAAAGGACGGGAAAGAACCGGAAAGAGCCAGAAAGAACCGGAAAGAACCGGAAAGAACCGGAAAGGAGTGGAAAGAACCGGAAAGAACAGGAAAGAACCGGAAAAGACCAGAAAGAACCGGAAAGAACCGTCAAGAACCAGAAAGAACCGGAATGAACCGGAAAGAACCGGAATGAACCGGAAAGGATTCGAATGAACTGGAAAGGACCGGAAAGAATTGGAAAGAACCGGAAAGAACTGGAAAGAATTGGAAAGAAGTGGAAAGAACTGGAAAGAATTGGGAAGAATTGGGCAGAACTGGAAAGAACTGGAAAGAACCGGAAAGAACCGGAAAGAACTGGGAAGAACCGGGAAAGAACTGGAAAGAACTGGAAAGAACTGGAAAAACTGGAAAGAGCTGGAAAGAAATGGAAAGAACTGGACAGAGCTGGGAAGAACTGGAAAGAACCGGAAAGAAACGGAAAGAATCGGAAAGAATCGGAAAGAATTGGAAAAAACTGGAAAGAACCGGAAAGAACTGGAAAGAAATGGAAAGAACTGAAAAGAACTGGACAGAGCTGGAAAGAACTGGAAAGAATTGGAAAGAACTGGAAAGAATTGGACAGAGCTGGAAAGAACTGGAAAAAAGTGGAAAGAACTGGAAAGAACTGGAAAGAACTGGAAAGAATTGGAGAGAGGTGGAATGAACTGGAAAGAACTGGACAGAATTGGAAAGAATTGGAAAGAATTGGAAAGAACTGGAAAGAACTGGAAGGAGCTGGAAAGAATTTGACAGAGCCGGAAAGAACTGGAAAGAACTGGAAAGAACTGGACAGAGCTGCAAAGAACTGGAAAGAACTGGAAAGAACTGGACAGAGCTGGAAAGAAGTGGAAAGAAGTGGAAAGAACCGGGAAGAACCGGAAAGAACTGGAAAGAACTGGAAAGAACTGGTAAGAACTGGACAGAGCCGGAAAGAACCGGAAGGAACTGGAAAGAACTGGACAGAGCTGCAAAGAACTGGAAAGAACTGGAAAGAACTGGACAGAGCTGGAAAGAAGTGGAAAGAAGTGGAAAGAACCGGGAAGAACCGGAAAGAACTGGAAAGAACTGGAAAGAACTGGTAAGAACTGGACAGAGCCGGAAAGAACCGGAAGGAACTGGACAGAACCGGACAGAGCTGGAAAGAACTGGAAAGAACTGGAAAGAACCGGAAAGAACTGGAAAGAACTGGAAAGAACTGGAAAGAATCGGAAAGAACTGGAAAGAATTGGACAGAGCTGGAAAGAACTGGAAAAAAGTGGAAAGAACTGGAAAGAACTGGAAAGAACTGGAAAGAATTGGAGAGAGGTGGAATGAACTGGAAAGAACTGGACAGAATTGGAAAGAATTGGAAAGAATTGGAAAGAACTGGAAAGAACTGGAAAGAACTGGAAGGAGCTGGAAAGAATTTGACAGAGCCGGAAAGAACTGGAAAGAACTGGAAAGAACTGGACAGAGCTGCAAAGAACTGGAAAGAACTGGAAAGAACTGGACAGAGCTGGAAAGAAGTGGAAAGAAGTGGAAAGAACCGGGAAGAACCGGAAAGAACTGGAAAGAACTGGAAAGAACTGGTAAGAACTGGACAGAGCCGGAAAGAACCGGAAGGAACTGGAAAGAACTGGACAGAGCTGCAAAGAACTGGAAAGAACTGGAAAGAACTGGACAGAGCTGGAAAGAAGTGGAAAGAACCGGGAAGAACCGGAAAGAACTGGAAAGAACTGGAAAGAACTGGAAAGAATCGGAAAGAACTGGAAAGGACGGGAAAGAACTGGACAGAGCTGCAAAGAACTGGAAAGAACTGGAAAGAACTGGACAGAGCTGGAAAGAAGTGGAAAGAAGTGGAAAGAACCGGGAAGAACCGGAAAGAACTGGAAAGAACTGGAAAGAACTGGAAAGAATCGGAAAGAACTGGAAAGGACGGGAAAGAACTGGAAAGAATCGGAAAGAACTGGAAAGGACGGGAAAGAACTGGAAAGAATCGGAAAGAACTGGAAAGGACGGGAAAGAACTGGAAAGAATCGGAAAGAACTGGAAAGGACGGGAAAGAACTGGAAAGAATCGGAAAGAACTGGAAAGGACGGGAAAGAACTGGAAAGAATCGGAAAGAACTGGAAAGGACGGGAAAGAACTGGAAAGAATCGGAAAGAACTGGAAAGGACGGGCAAGAACTGGAAAGAATCGGAAAGAACTGGAAAGGACGGGAAAGAACTGGAAAGAATCGGAAAGAACTGGAAAGGACGGGAAAGAACTGGAAAGAATCGGAAAGAACTGGAAAGGACGGGAAAGAACTGGAAAGAATCGGAAAGAACTGGAAAGGACGGGAAAGAACTGGAAAGAATCGGAAAGAACTGGAAGGACGGGAAAGAACTGGAAAGAACGGAAAGAACTGGAAAGGACGGGAAAGAACTGGAAAGAATCGGAAAGAACTGGAAAGGACGGGAAAGAACTGGAAAGAATCGGAAAGAACTGGAAAGGACGGGAAAGAACTGGAAAGAATCGGAAAGAACTGGAAAGGACGGGAAAGAACTGGAAAGAATCGGAAAGAACTGGAAAGGACGGGAAAGAACTGGAAAGAATCGGAAAGAACTGGAAAGGACGGGAAAGAACTGGAAAGAATCGGAAAGAACTGGAAAGGACGGGAAAGAACTGGAAAGAATCGGAAAGAACTGGAAAGGACGGGAAAGAACTGGAAAGAATCGGAAAGAACTGGAAAGGACGGGAAAGAACTGGAAAGAATCGGAAAGAACTGGAAAGGACGGGAAAGAACTGGAAAGAATCGGAAAGAACTGGAAAGGACGGGCAAGAACTGGAAAGAATCGGAAAGAACTGGAAAAGGACGGGAAAGAACTGGAAAGAATCGGAAAGAACTGGAAAGGACGGGAAAGAACTGGAAAGAATCGGAAAGAACTGGAAAGGACGGGAAGAACTGGAAAGAATCGGAAAAAGGAAACTGGAACTGGAAAGAATCGGAAAGAACTGGAAAGGAACGGGAAAGAACTGGAAAGAATCGGAAAGAACTGGAAAGGACGGGAAAGAACGCGGAAAAGAAAGGACTGGAAAAGGAATCGGAAAAGAACTGGAGGGACGAGAACTGAAAGGAATCGGAAAGAAAGAAGGGAAAGGACGGGAAAGAACTGGAAAGAATCGGAAAGAACTGGCAAAAGGAGAACTGGAAAGAACTGGAAAGAATCGGAAAGAACTGGAAAGGACGGGAAAGAACTGGAAAGAATCGGAAAGAACTGGAAAGGACGGGAAAGAACTGGAAAGAATCGGAAAGAACTGGAAAGGACGGGCAAGAACTGGAAAGAATCGGAAAGAACTGGAAAGGACGGGAAAGAACTGGAAAGAATCGGAAAGAACTGGAAAGGACGGGAAAGAACTGGAAAGAATCGGAAAGAACTGGAAAGGACGGGAAAGAACTGGAAAGAATCGGAAAGAACTGGAAATGGGGCTGCACATTCTGCTCGACCGATTCCCAGGCAGCAGATGATGAATCAATGGGATCAATGGGATCAATGGGGAGCGCCGAAGGGCAAAGGCAAAGGCGGGGCGGAGAGGGAAGTCAACAGGTGGGCCCATTCTACCTAATATGGATTTATATGTCTAATTCTATCTACACCTATATTACCTATAATATATATATATATATACATATACTGTAATATATATATTATATATATATATATATGTACTGTAAATAAATAAATAAATACATAAATAAATAAATAAATATATATATTATACCGGAATATATATATATATATTATACTGTAATACATATATTTATACATGTTCTTTACATATCTCTTGCTCTCTTTTCACCTTGCTTATGCTTCTCTCCATACACGCACATTTGCCTGAATTTGTCTCAGAAGGAGACACGCATGTTAAACAAATCTTGACGTGCTGCGCGGGCTGACAAAGCTTGTGTGGTTAGGGCATATTCTCAAAGATACTCCAGTGGTCCCAAAAGGGGTATTTCATTTCCATATATACCTTTTTGCAGGTACCTGGGACCTGGTACCTGCGGTGGTTTAACAAAAACCACTTAAAATGGAAACAGCTAACAAAAACGCATCGCGTTGGAGAGTTGCAGCTCATGTGGGATTGTGGCAACGTGCTTCAGGGCAAAAAGTTCAAGCCGACCTTGATGGTTTTTGGAGGATCATCCCAGGTAGCAACTGGTTAACTAAGTCCCGGGTTATCTGGGTTATCCCAATTGTGATCGGGTCACTTACTAACCAGCTAATGTCAATTCTAAGTAGGTCGATTCCCCCAATGTCTTTGTTTGGTACCCCCAAAATGGTGACTTCTTGAAGCATTGCCAGGAGCACAAACTCCAGGCCCAGGCCCAGTATTTGGTGGGAGGGAACAGTGAGCTGAGAATCCATATTCCCTATTGAATGGGGGAGCTACAGAGGCTTGAGTACGAAGAAAAGATCAATTCTGTGGGCCAGTGGTACCCCAGGTTTTGGCCACAGCCATGCGTTAAGAATACCTTTATCTTAGATTGGGCATCGGAAAACCATCGATTTGTGTGTGTGTGTTATGGCGCAGTCCAACGATTGGGTTCAACACTTGTTCTTTTACTTTCTCCTTCTGAGATGAGGATGACAATTGGGTACATCAGTCATGCTAGTTTAATAATCCTTTCCTCTTTTACAAAACACCAGCTTACTGCTGAATCCATTAACAAATCCGTGGGTCCCCTTGCGGGCGGGGGGTTGTAATGGGGATGGGATGGGATTAGGAGGGAACGGTTCACCTTGCGCGGCAGCGTTTTGCAGTTGGTGGTCCCACCATCGTCACTCCCAAGATGGCTGCTTGGTCCATGTGTTTTTGGAGGGTTGGGGAAGTTGCACGACCCTGAAGCTGTCCAACCTGGCTTAGTGGACAGTCCCCATGTTCAATAGGTGCATCATCTACATTTCTGGCAGATTTCCCAGTTTGGCAGGTTAGATTGCCAGAGGGTAGCGTAGCCAGTGATATCATCTTGGCAGACTCTGACTGTCGCTTTTCGGGGGTCCATGAGAGTTCAGAAAGCGTCCAGCAAGCGGCAACCCCGGATGAATCTTCCCTGCCTGAGTCAGGAGGTCACCGATATGCTTTTGACATGGTACTGATATCCAGACCGGCTTCATTACACAATCCTTTGTGAACATTAGCCTAGAGATGCTGTCATCTACAGCAAGAGCCCTGCCAGTTGCAAGTTGGTTGTTAGTCACCTTTCACTTTGGATATATCCGCCATAAATTGGACGGCGGATGATATATTATTATTATTATTATCATCATTATTATTGTTATTATTGTTAGCAGGCCCCCCTCGCTCTGCCGCTGAGGTCATGCCCAAGCAACAAGCGAAGCCGGCGGGTCCGCTGGCTTTGCCCGGCTCCGCCAATGCCACTCCACTGGGCTGTAGCGGAGGTCCGGCAGCAGTGGTGCCTCCCAAGATGCAGATTCAACCAAAGGTGGCTTGCCTGGACGCTGTGAAGATGGGGTGATAGTAATATACGTAACTTAGCTACTAGTTCACCATCAAGCTTTTGGGGAATTTGACATGACCCTGTTTTCTGACAACTCCACTTGGGGTCTCATGGCGTCCAAAGTCGAGAGGGACACACACACACACAGAGGATACATACTCCGCACTTGCATGTGGCTTGGAATTCGGGACAAACAAATCATCCCACAGATCCTGTAGCAGTCTAACCACCTAGCCATAGAATGCTTTCAATTCTTTAGAAACGGAAGAGTTAAACATTGTGGGGGCCAAACCTGGTTGCACACGCTTTGAAGGAAGGTGAGAACAGCCACCCTGAATGATCTAGTGTCCCTTTACCACTGCTTGGTTGAGCAATGGGGGCGGTTACCCCACATTCAACCAATGGAAAAAGATGTGACACCGTTTCGTGCTGTCGCACTCTGTTGCCGTTGCCAAGGCTTTAGGCCTGCGGCCCGTCTCTGTTCCACCACCCAAGGGCACCTTGTCAGAACGGACTGCTGAGAGTGCATATACTGAGGGGCACCAGTTCATTGTGGAAACCGTGTGTTTTGTACAGCAATGTAGTTGGTTTTAAACGCCCAAAATGTGATTTATATCTATACTATACCATACCATTTGGCATGACACATATTCCATCAGACACCGCTTGATTTGAAGATTGCCCTAAGACTCACAAACGGCAAGACATCAGAAGACTAGCAGTTCAAGCTTGCTAGCCTTGCACATGCCATCCTCTTCCACATTTACTTCATTCTATACCAACCCATTTTTGTTAGATGAAAAACATCAAATGAGGGGGGCCGACTTCTCATCGTTTTTGCAGCACTTGAGGCCTCATCTAACTTTCCATATCTTGGAGGGTTGTTCCCCCCCCACAAAGGTTGTTGTGCTGGTTAAACTCAAGTTTTTTTTCCAGTTCAAACAAAATTCTTACCAGTTACCCTCCTGTAACATAGATGTGGAAAACCCACCATTTGTAGATCATTTTCGGGGAAACCATTGGTTTTCCACATCTTTTTGCACGTTTACCCCAGGGTAAACCAACATTTTTCGCTGGTGAACCCCCTGTTTCTCCAGGTGGTGTTGGTGGTAACGCCTTGCTGCAGAGCACTCCAAAGGCTTCCGCCGCGACGGCACCCCCGAGCTGGCAGCAATGGGAGGAGCCGAGCTGGACCGGAGGCTGATTCTATACGCAACTGATATCCATCCATCCATCCATCCATCCATCCATCCATCCATCCATCCATCCATCCATCTGTGGCAATGTGTATATATATATATATACATACATTTATATATATATATATATATTTATGTATTTGTTATATATTAGTTATATCCCCATCAATGGTTGGAGTGTTTCATCCCATTGACACAGACATTTCCTTCTGGTAAATGGTCCTTTTTGATAGCTAAATCATCTAAAAACGGACCATTGTCCATAGCTATGACATTACCGGAGCGCGCGTCTGAAAGTGGGGGTATATCGTGGTATATCCCAAAATGGCAATTTTAGTAGGACAATCAATCAGAGACCATTACATTTGGGGGTACCCTATTTTCAGACAAACCACATATGGGATGAAACCAACCGTTTATGGGAATACAACTAGTATTAATCAAGAGCATGATAGTGGAGCTACAGATCGATGGTCATTTTCTATGCTGTGAATAATGGGGAATTTAACCAACACTAAAGTTATGGATATATTTCATAGGGATCTACAACAAGATATGATGGAAAGTGGGTCAAGCGATGGGATGGATAGTACTGTGAAAGTCGTTCTTATCCTTTTGGAGAAAGTCGCTAGCCAGCTAAAAGAATCAGTTTGACGGGCAATGTTTCTCTAATATAGCATTTACTGTATCTTTTAGTACAAAAAAATGATCAAATAGGGACGGGGTCAGTGCTATAAATGGGGTTTCACCATCAAACATGAGGTTTTATTGGTGAAATGTTGGGGTTCTATTTTCAGACCTGGGTTTCCCTCAAAGTGGGGGATACTCCAATAGATGGCCATCAAATATGATAAGGGACATAGTGGATGGGACGGGGTATCCTATTTTCACAGAGAGACCCAAATAGCAAAAATTGGTTTGCCTGAACAACAGGACAACCGTGCTGAGACCATTTTCGGGAAATGGAACTGGTCTTTGAGTGGATAAGTCAAAGTCAATGATCTTGTGAATCACACATGGATTTGTCAATTCTAGATTCTAGTAGAAAACCAGACGTTCTTTTGCATTTTTGGGGAACTGGCTTTGTAGGAAGTGTGGGCACAGAAATGGAACTTGGAACCCTATAATGACAATTCTAAAGGGATCCAATAATTGTTTCCATGTTAGTTTTCAATGGTGTACTGGAGACTGAGCACTCCCTATGATATCAGGATTCAAAGCCAGGAAACCTACCAAGCCATTTTTTGGTGATAGAGGTGTGATGATGCAAAGATCGAGTGGCGGTATTCGCAATGGATCCAACGTTATGCGTTTGATGAAAAAAAATACCGGGTGACACTATGAGATCTGACACCAGGATAATCATAAAAACATAGTACTCGTACCGGAAATCCAGCGGTTTAGAAAATAATTTTCCCCATCAATGACCACAAGTTGGGGTGCCGGTATCCCTGTTATCCCAATTTCCGGTGTCACAACAGGACAATGATTGGTCCTTGATGGCCACGTCTGCAGATTGGAGCGGAGCAGAGTGGAGCGGAGCCGGAGCAGAGTGGAGCGGAGCAGAGGGCAGTGCTGGAAACGACTGGAGTGAAAGCTCCGGTGGAAAGGGCTGGAGTGGAAACTCTGGAAAGGACTGGAGTGGGGATTGGAAAGACTGGAAAAATGACAAGTGGAAAAACTGGAAAGATGATGAGTGGGACGATTGGAAAGCTCCCTGGCGCGAAACTGTTTGCTGAAATGTCTTTGTTGATTTCTTGCAGCTCCATGGCAATTCTTTAGGTAAGTTGGATGCCCGAGTGCATAACAGCCGCTTTGATTGGGGCAGCAGAGACAAAGTAGCAAATCACATTTGATTGGCGCTCTCAAGTTCGGGATTGCTAGCCCAACTGACAAGCATACCCTTGGGATAGCTTGAAGCCACCAGACATGTTTTTTGGTCTCCCGTGCCTCGATGGATGTCTTCCATAGGACTATGATGGACTTTGTTGGTTGACCAAACCGACCAAACCTGTCGGATCAACATATGCGAAACGAGACCCTTGAGTCCCAAAATGTCCCAAAGGATCGAATCCATTTGTGACCGACACCCACCAGACTGTCGACCTTGGAGATTTCACAAAAACTGGTCCCAAACAATGTCCAACCCACCTGCATGGCCTCTCCGACATTTTCGCCTGAGAATCCAAGGATTGGGGCTCCAAAAAGAGGGGCAAAGGAAAAGGAAAGCGTGGAAAAGATGATGGCAAGGGAGGCGGGTCAACTCACGAGTCGAAATGGGAGATGAAAGGAAGCCTTCATGAACCACTGGCATAGCTGTTGAGGGGCGGGTCATTGGCAGATTCACCTCTGTTGGTGAAAATTTGGCATTGGTAAGGAATCAGTGAATCAGGAGTCAGGTCATTGCATTGCACATGTTTTGGGGTGCAAACAACCGTCATGTTCAAATCCAATTTGTTGATGGTCATGCTCCGGGTCGTTTTTTTGGATGAAAGTTGACAGAAATTGTGTCTAGTTCTGTCTGGTTCAGTCTGCCCCTAGGCGATGAAGGTTGGGGTCGCCGAAGAAGAGGTCGCGGCGATGATTTGGAAGTGGTGGTCAAAGGACTGCCGCCGCAGACGGACGAACAAGCCATCCGCGAGTTCTTTGCGGGCTGTGGAGAAACTCAGCAAGACCACTGTATCATGAGGGTTCAAGGGGAACCCAATAGGAACCATGTTTTATGTTTCTATGTGTATGTGTATGGGTAATTATGGGTATGTGTATGTGTATGTGTGCACACAATGGAAAGAGGAAAGAGCCAGGATTTCCTGTAAACATGTCCCTTCTGGTAGATTTGGCCTGGTCTTTTGAGGCATGCCCCCCACGTCGTGCAAGATGGGAAAACGCCCACCCTGGACCATTTCGGGGCAAGCCATGGCGATGACTGCTTGAGGTGACAAGCGAGTCCTACAGCTGGAACATCTTTCATGGCATCATGGGGGAATCCCAAACCATACAGTCCACAACTGGTCCAGAGAATTTCCAGCACCTCCCAACAGATCCCAACAGATCCAGGGGTGTCTGGGTCTTCCACCACCCTACAAGGTGTTGCCGCTCAAGGGTACAAGTTGGTTTATTGAAGGAAGTTTAGAAGTCAAACTTCCGACAATATGGACAGATGAAAAGCAGAGGTGGAGCAGAAGAATAGAGAAGAGAAGAGCAGAGGAGAGAAGATGAGAGAAGAGAAAGAGTCAGAAGAAAGAAGATGCAGGCGCGCGAAAAGGTAGGAAAGTCGCGAAACACTGTGTCTTTCCAATGATTTGTGGCTCCAGAGGGTCGAAAAGTAGGCTCGCTAAAGCGGCGGGTGCGGAGCCAGCTGGCCAGATGAGAGATTAAAAATTGCACGCCGTTGTGGCGCGAAGCACATTTCCAAGTCAAAACGTACAAAGCACACCATTCTTGGACCACTTTTGGAAATTGAGATGTCGAGAAAGTGCACGCTGTTGTGGCGCGAAGCACACTTCGAAGTCAAAATGCACAAAGCACAGCAGGTTCGGATGACTTTTGGAAGTTGAGATGTCGAAAAAGTGCACGCCGTTGTGGCGCGAAGCAGACTTCGAAGTCAAAATGTTAAAAACACACCATGCTGGGACCACTTTTGGAAGTTGAGATGTCGAAAAAGTGCACGCCGTTGGGGTTCGGACCACTTTTGGAGGTTCAGATGTCGCTTCGCGTGGCAGGCGCAAGGGATTGCGCACCTTGTCAAAAGTGAGCAAGACGTGAGGGTTTTGTAGCATTTCCAAAAACGATGGCAGGCGTGGGACATTTGACGAGGATCTGCAAAGATGCATTTTCCGTGGCAGGCGCAATACAAGAGGCATATGACCTGGCATCACTTTTTCGTGGCAGCGCAGTACTTTAGACAGGTGGACTGGGAAAAACGCAAAACGCATTGGTTCGAGGCCGTCAGCTCTGCACTCAACCGTCCATTTTTGAAGGACGTCTCGCAGAATTGTTTCGTTTTTGATGTTGTCAGTAGGTAGGTAGCTGGGTGGGTGGGTGGGTAGGTAGGTAGGTAGGTGGTTGGTAGGTAGGTAGGTAGAGCAGTCCCAAGGAAGTAGGGAGTAAGGGAGGTAGGGAGGCGGGAGGTCGGGAGGGGAGGTCGGAAGGTCGGCGGTAGGGAGGTAGGAAGGGAGGAGGGATGAGGTAAGGGAGGTCAAGGGAGGTAGGGAGGTAGGGAGGTAGGGAGGTAGGGAGGTAGGGAGGTAGGGAGGTAGGGAGGTAGGGAGGTAGGTAGGTAGGTAGGTAGGTAGGTAGGTAGTCAGAGAAAGAGATAGAAAGAGAGAGAAAGAGAGAGAAAGAGAGAGAAAGAGAGGAGACCTCAACCACCTGTCGGTCCATCAGTCTCTTCGCTCTGCCATCCGTTACTCACAATAACCAACCTCTCCTATAGCTAGGTTTCCTATTTTTGGAACTTCCGCCGCCGCCCTGTGCGGTACTACTGGTAACCCTCATACACATTCCTAATCATAAGTCTTATTTGACTTAGCTATCGAACTGTGGCACCACCGTTTTTTCCGCCCCCGGATCGGAGCGAAGCCAAGGAAGTGACCAAAATCACCATGCCGCGGTCGGGAAAAATGGTCTTTGTGGCTTTCTCGAGCCAGGAGGCGTGGGCCTGTGCTCGATGCTGGGGGCCAGAAAACCTATGGGCCTATGGGTATAATTACAGTACCCCATGAACATCCACCATTGCCAGCTAACTCTTGGTGTGAAAATTTGGGTTTGGGGTTTGATCCGTAGCCATATATTGTATCCCCTTTTGTATGAAATGAATTGAGAACCAAAGGTTGCATCCTGCCTATGACAGACTCTTCGGCAGGGCATCGACAAAGCGGTGGAGTTCAACAAGACCTTCTTCCACGGCATCTACATTGAGGTGAAAGCTGAATGGATCACGATGTGGTAGTACCTTCCGGCAGTCTAACATTTCTTGCTGGAATATCTCCAATGAAAAATGATTGTCGTAAAACCATAGCCATGTATTTTGAGACCACAGACTTTTGGGTAGCAAAATTTGGCCAAGGGGAGTGCATATTGTTAGACACTTTGACAAATACATCATCCCATTCTTGGGCACGGCATTTTGATCCCAGTGATGAATCTGCCTCGTGAAATTGTGGTGACTCAACAGTATTCCCGAGATTTAAATCATTTTAAGTCCGACCTTGGTGAGGTGAAGTCTGCTGCCGAGAAGTTCGACAAGAAGGGCAGCCGCGCGGATTTGACCATGCCATGATCGAATGCAAGAGGTCTTGTTGGAGGAAGTTTTTTTGTGATTTGAATCAAATGGGTTTTCCACGTGCCCCCCACAGGCTTCACTCTCCAGCCTTTTGACCTCGTGAATAAACGATCCGCCTCAGAACCCAAATCGCGATTTGACCTCATAGCAGAAACTGTTGTACCGTTTTATCATGTTGTACCGGTTGTTTTTTTTTTGCCAAGGGTCAAGCTCCTATGTTGCCTGGCAGACTTCTGCTGAACTTCTGGCAAGAATCCACAGTGACAAACACATTCTTTCCGAGAGAGCCATGTGTGCAACCACCAACCCAAACAGCTCAACATCTTGGGTAAATGTATCCTGTGGCAATTCCACGGTACGGCCAATCACGGAGCAAACATCATTGTCCTTATTTATATACACGTCCCAAAAACATAAACAAGTTATTCCCAGCTCCTTTGTTTATTATATTTATATATAACAAACACATAAACAGTTGTTTACTTGTTTACTTGTTTACTTACTGACTTACTTACTTACTTCCTTACTTCCTTACTTGCTTACTTGCTTGCTTGCTTACTTACTTTACTTTACTTTACTTTACTTACTTTACTTACTTTACTTACTTTACTTACTTTACTTGCTTTACTTGCTTTACTTACTTACTTACTTACTTCCTTACTTCCTTACTTCCTTACTTCCTTACTTCATTACTTCCTTACTTGCTTACTTGCTTGCTTGCTTACTTACTTTACTTTACTTTACTTTACTTTACTTACTTTACTTACTTTACTTGCTTTACTTGCTTTACTTGCTTTACTTGCTTACTTGCTTACTTGCTTACTTGCTTACTTGCTTACTTGCTTACTTGCTTACTTGCTTACTTGCTTACTTGCTTACTTGCTTACTTGCTTACTTGCTTACTTGCTTGCTTGCTTACTTGCTTGCTTGCTTGCTTGCTTACTTGCTTACTTGCTTACTTGCTTACTTGCTTACTTGCTTACTTGCTTGCTTGCTTACTTGCTTGCTTGCTTGCTTACTTACTTACTTACTTACTTACTTACTTACTTTACTTGCTTACTTACTTACCTACCTACCTACTTACTTAGTTACTTACTTGCTTACTTTCTTACTTACTTACTTACTTACTTACGTACCTTACTTGCTTGCTTGCTTACTTTCTTACTTACTTACATTACTTGCTTGCTTGCTTGCTTACTTACTTGCTTACTTACTTGCTTACTTACCTACCTACCTACTTACTTACTTACTTACTTACTTACTTACTTACTTACTTACTTATATAACTTATATATATATATATTATATACTATACATACGCGTGTGTGTATATATATATACTATATATACATACCTATATGAACGACGCTTTTGTATCTTTTAGTAAGGGCCTTTAGGGACCCTGTAGATCTGAAGGATCTCCACTGAAGGCAGCTCCCGTTGATCGGGTCTAAGGCAACGATGACCAGACGGTGGTGGTGAAGGGCTTCCCCGACAACGCCGACGAAACCACACTGCAGGCGCACTTCGAAGCCTGTGGCGAAGTGGTTCGGGCCCCTCGACTGCAGTGGGATCCGCTCGACTTGCCTTCATAGTACTTCATAGTATGTCATGCTGGATTCATGAGTTTTCTATGGCAAAAATTAGCAAAATGCATTGGGAAGAGTTCCACCATGTTCCAAGTGTCAGAGTTCTTCCACAACATACTCCAACTGTACAGCAATCCACCGAGGTGAACATGCCGCGACATCGAGACACAGGGAACATCAAAGGCACTGCCTTCGTGGAGATGAAAACGGAGGAAGCCTTCCAACAGGTGCATCAGATGATCATCATGGGACATTCCAGTATACATAGTATACTCCAGAGGCACATAGAGGTCCTGTATGTGGTTGGATTCTTGAACTGAATTGATCATGGTTAGCATAACCCATCTATTTGGATGAACTACAATGACCTCACTGCGACGGCACCGGAATGTTGATAGGGGTAACTATCCCAAAATGACCGCATTTCAGGTTATAGCTCTAACTTATCCAGATTTGTACGTTCCAACTTCTATATGATTAGCATCCACAATTGGGACTTCTAAAACCACCAGTTGGTTGATACCCACAGAGATTGACCAGTTGCGATTCCTGGGATAGGGGACATGCCCAAGACCCGGCTGAAACGAACGTCTGCGGGGTAGCTGTGTGGAACCGAGGCTTTCAAATTCCACAATCAGTTGGTTGTTTCCATGGCTTTGTATTCTCGTGTATTTTCCATCTGTGTGACGTATTCAATCGCTCCGGTCGTTGAGGGTTGTTATCCCATTCTTCCTCTTGGTCTGTGTTGCCTCTGTTCGGGTTGAAGCAGCAAACAAGCACCTCTCCATTGCGGTTGATTGATCGCCAGCAACCCCTCTATATGGACATTGTGGCGCTTTTGAAGATCTTTAATTTAATTTGGCTTCCTATGGAAAGAACATGTGAACAAGTCTGCTTCCTAAGATACAGGGTACAACCATGGCCCCATCACTCTATCTATTTGGGAACCCTGTGGGAATGCCAAAGCGCGGCTAGGCATTGCAGATGGACGGTTCCACGTATTTGGGCAACATGTTGATCGTGACTTGGCTGATGTCATCCTTGTTGATGACTGTTGTGACTCTTGTGATTGTTGTTGTTGTTGTTGTTGATGATGATGATGATTATGCTTATGATTGTGATGATGATTACTCCTTGGGTTCGGAAATTTCCATTGAATAGCTAGTGCCAAGTCATCGCCTACTCTGTAAAGATCCCACAATTTCTAAACAACCGGGGCAAGCAACATACACTTCGTGTATGTGCCTCACAGCCTACCCGACAACGCTTCCATCATCACAATCGTATTCAGCAATTGGCAATCAGCTATTTGTTTATAGCTTACTTGTACCTGAGGACTTTCCTGGATGATTTGGGACTCGTTGATATGTCTTGTTCAGCAGGCTGTTGCACCACCAGTTGGCAGCTGAGAACAGCTGGAATGGACTTCGCAACTTTGACCCACAGCCACTTTCAGATTGGCTCAAAACTATCTACCTCATCTACCTCCCCTACTTGGATGGTTTAGTGCTAAGCATTACCAATTTTCTGGGTCTGGCAACGCCCCATTCTGGAGCCGTGCCAACATATTTACAGACCATAATGATTGCTTCTTCACGGAATCCGCATGTTCCTTGCTAGACGGTTAAATAGGTAAATCCCCATTTGGGATAGTGAAGTCAACATTTCTGAATTGTTACATATGTATATATATATATATAAATATAGATATATATCCTGTTAAATCTCCATTCTTCTTGGCAACTTCTGCTCTGCCAAAAGCTGGCTCCTGGCTCAGGTGAGAAAGGCGAGCGACACAATTGAGAAGGGTGCAGGCAAAGGCAAGAGAGCCACTGGGCATCAATTCATCATCGCCACAAGGCGGCGGAAGTGCTTAAAGGACAAGATAATTTGGGGGTTTGCTAATGGTTTAGCATTATCAAAGACATGGGGATTTTATAGAACGGGTTTAACTATTCAAAATTCGGGATTTATCTACCAAAAAGAAAGTTTCAAGGGAGTTTATTTATCAAATTGGATTGGTACAAACATGGGAGGTACTCGGATAGCCCAGTTTATGATAAATTCAAAGGCGGGGGCGATAATCAGCCATTGGGTTCTGGGAGCCCTTTTTTTCAACAGACCCAGGTATCCAACATTTTGTGAATTGTGCCAAATAATCGTTCATTCCATGGGACTGGGAGAATTTGTTAAAGACAGCAAAGACCTGACTATTTTTGTTTATGTTTTCATTTATCTATTTTCATTTATTTTCTAAAACAGGTTGGAAGCACCCATCGGGTAAGATGTCATCTTGAAGGTTTTTGCACTTAATGGTTGACGCAGTGGGACATGGTCAGAAGCTCGGTGAACGGGCGTGTTGATCGAACTGTTCCGGACTGTTCACACATAGCCATCAGCACTGTTTCAGACAAGGACAAGGAGAAGGAAGATGAAGTGACCGTGGTTGTGAAGGGTTTCTGGGCTGATGTGAGCATTACATGCAGCCTGGTTGCGGCAAACAAATGAAGAATAGGAAGCAGGGTAGCGACGGGTAGTGACGGGTAGTGAGTTGAGTGTGCTTGTTTCACTATAGTGCTTGTGGAACATTATTTGTGACCATTTTATGCTGACCCATGTTTTGCCCGTTGCCACGAGCACCTTTCTGGACTGCACGACCATCTCCCAAGAGCAACGACTTTGCGTTGTTAGCGTTTTCGTTGACGCCCAGGGGAGCGCCATGACACCGCCACTTCAGAACGCACAACTTTAGAATATGTTAGATTAAAACATGTTTTCCACCGAGAGATCTTTGCCCCTCTAGGCTTTCCCACCGCGAACGTCGATGAGGCAGCCCTCAGGACGCCGTCGGACCGTTTGGCATGGTCCCGGAAGCTATTAATTATTAATTGAAATATATTGAAGCCATAGATTCCATAGACTGGATCATTGATTGGATCATTGTTCTTTTGCCCACCGGTTGATGGAGTGGCAACTGTGGTAACTCCCACATCCAAAACGCAATGGTAACCCTGGCAACCCCATTTCAATGAGGTAAAATTGAAGGGGCCCTTGTTTCGGAGCCCCACAGGGCCTGAGGAGATTCAGGGTGGCAAGTCCGAGATTCACCAAGATGCCCTGAGAAATGAATAACTGGGAATGGATCAACACATTTTGAAGAACATCGGAACGATGGTGGGCGGGTGAACGTTCATGACTACCAGCGATTTTCAGAGGAAGTTTGGCAGAGAAACTTCCATGATGTGGATATTGAACATTTGCGAGAAAAGTCGTCAATAGAAAGAAGAAAGAGATGTGAACAGAAAAAGGGCCAAGCAGAAAAGAGATACCAGGGCGAAAGATGGCAAAGAGAAAGCGCTGTCAAGGGAAGGAGTTGTCAAGAGAAGAGATGTCAGGAGAAAGAGGCGTCAAGGAGAAAGATCTGTCTTGCGAGACAGAGTGACGTCAGGAGAAAGAGTTGTCAAGAGAAATGCTTTGCTTTAGATTTTCAACTTCCATTTTCGATGGAATTCGAAGGATGTCTCCCAGAAAATGTGTTTTTTTTTCAAGGTAGCCGGTGCACAAGACTGAGTGTTTTTCCATGTTTTTCCAATACACTATTCGCCTCGATTAAGATCTGCCGCGACGGTTTCGAAATGGTATATAGGTATTTCTCGAATTGTGGATGCAAAGCCTGGCCAGGTAGCCGAAGCCGATGCCGGAAGAAGCTAGATCTACATCGATACCAATCTCTGTGTCTTGATATACAGGTACTGGTATATATACTTATCATACTTCTATGAGTATCCATATTTTATTTATTTACAGTATATGCAATCCAATAATCTAAGCTAAGCGTGCAGGCCCTGGCCAGCCTGTTTTTTTTTCCCTAGTGTTTTTCCTACCGGGCAGGAACGCTTTTATGGTTTGCGGAGAGATTGTTCGCATTCGTCTTCCCCGTGGCAGCGATGGCCTGCCGAAGGGCACCGCCTTTGTCCAATATTCCAGTGAAGAGGAGGTCGTAAGGCCAGAGGTGGATAGAGGTGGTTGTATGATGTTTACTATGAATTCAAACTCAAACCCAAGGACTGTAATAGGAAGATGTGGTCAATAACTCTTGTTGATAAGTTCCCTCCTTGAGGTTATCGAATTTATGGCTGGTTTAAAACAAGTTGATTGGCCAATTGCATGTATATACCTTGGCAATCCCGGTTGCGATCACACATGGCAATGTAACACGTTTCAAAAGGTCTATCATCGGTAGGCAGGACAATTCCAATGTCAGGTTACAGTATATTTTTTTTGAAGTGTGATCGAATGGTGGTTATTGACGTGGACAGGGTACTCTTTGGAATGCACTGGAAACTAGCGGCAAAATGGGGGACAATATGTTGACCATAAGCAGGAACATGCCCCTAATGTGGGGGATCTAGCCAGGCACTCTGGGGCACGTAAACCGGTTGATGTTTCAATATCAAAAACATAGAAGCACTGCCTTTTGTTGGTGCGTTTGTTGGTGCATTTGTTTTTCATAACAGATACACTCATTGAACTTTGTCCAGGGTGTTGCTCAAGGTAGATCACCCCCCCTTCTCCCGGAATTTGGTGGACCGAAAACACCGTTCCAAGGGACGATTGTATCACTTTAGAAATACAAAGTAAAACATGCCATTTACTGTACATCAACATACTAAACATACTAACAACACACATACACCAAATATGATTCTATATTCACACACATCAACCTTGCAATATACAGCCCCACTAAAGTCAGATGAATATGTTTGCAGTATATATATATATATACACAAAATATTTTTTTTAAGTGTATATATATATATTTACAATCGCTTTAGAACATCTATGCAATATACACACATTTTTTTCATCACACATATTATATATATATGCACAATATATTTGAATACACCATTCATGAATACATACATACATACATACATACAACATATACATACATACATACATACATACATACATACATACATACATACATACATACATACATACATACATACATACATACATACATACATACATACATACATACATACATACATACATACATACATACATACATACATACATACATACATACATACATACATACATACATACATACATACATACATACATACATACATACATACATACATACATACATACATACATACATACATACATACATACATACATACATACATACATACATACATACATACATACATACATACATACATACATACATACATACATACATACATACATACATACATACATACATACATACATACATACATACATACATACATACATACATACATACAATATGTCGACTATATATATATATACATACGTTTACAACATAAACATTTGCAATATACAATATACACTTACATAAATTCAAATATGTATACATATATGTATTCATAAATACTGGTATTCACAAACATTCTCAGACTGTTCTATGCCCAGCTCTCATGAACATGGCGGACCTTGCTGGTCCTAGGTTGGTTGTGAAATACCATTCAGAACGCAACTCTTTTCCATACCTGACCGTCCCACCAATCAGGGCATTGGAACTTGACAATCAAGAGATCTTTGGCGATGGCAACAGCATTAGCAATTTGGACCGCAAGAAGGTCATGAATCCCTTTCGTGGATGGGAACCGCAAATCACCGCTGTTGAGATGATTTCGGAGTCAATATGGCTTGCCATATGTGATTGTCAGAGAGTACCTTGTAGAATTGATTTAAACAAATATGATCTTGGGATATTCGGCCTAATGGTTGGGAACGCAGGGACATGTATTCATTTGGGCCGGACGATTCAAATAATTGGTCTTAGCATGGCACCATTGATTTCCTAGAAATTTGGGCACCCAGATGCACACATTAGTCTGTCAAATATGTGAAATCTTCTAATGTGCATGAAACCACGGAAAATTTGAAATACATCATATCTTCCACATTTTCCGTTGTTGATATCCTTTATCCAACTATGAAGTTCCTGGAGCAGGGGCTGGTTCCCTTACTTGCGGGTGCAGTTCTCAATCAGTAGGTAAATTGCCACAATTATGGGTTTATCGGGTTTACATCCCAACTTACGCGGATTAGTATCATGGTTATAATATCGATGAGAAACCTCAACTGCAGCCCCATGTTCCGTTAAGGTGTTCACCGTGCCAATGAGAAAAGACAAAGGGAGGGTCGTGGTCGTGGCGGTCGTGGCTCGAAAGAGAAGAACGATGACTTCACGGTGGCCGCATGGTGGCATTTTGGAAGGTGTTGATCTCCCAAGTGGCGATGATTGGTGACTTAAAACATGATGATTTAACGGCAAAACCTGAAGCACGTAGCCTAAGTAGAAACACATGGTTACACAAACAAACCTGCGGGTTGAACTAACAAAGGGGGGTTGTCCAGCAAAATCGGGTCTAAGTGTTTGACTAGGAATATCGGGGCCTTAACCAACTATAAAATGGCTAGCGATCCAACATGAGCTATCAGTAGGCCCACAAGTTTGTCATCCTCCGTTGGTTGATGATTGGGTACGGATCGTTATACTCTAATATGGAACCAAACATGATTGAAACAAAAAGACGGAAGCTCCAATAGCAAAATATGTGGATGTTGTCCCATCCTCATATGCTACAAGAGCTGAGTCTCTTCCAGCGGTGCTTCTTAAGTATCCCCAAGTTCGGATAGCTTCACCCTGCAAACTCAACTGGATAATCCCAAACCTGGAAAATCGGGTAGGTGAACATCCCCAAAAGGTTTATTATCTCTATTTCGGAGTGGTTTCCAAATCTGTGTGATCCATATCTATCTGAGGCAGACCGCAGACCTCCTGGTGCTTCGTAAAATAGGCTGAAACTTCGGGGCAACCCCAAAATTCTTCTAGTTGATCATCATTTTGTCCCAGTTTGGAAATTTGAGGGCATCCTCCATTCTTGTTCATCAAAATCACATCAATGTTGATCATACATCGTCATATATCCATTATATATCCCATATTGTCCCGTCATGTGCGAAGTTCATCCCATGAGATCCCCCACTTGCGGTCGTGTCGTCCCATCGTCCCATCGTCCCAGCGTCAGGTCGTCCGTGGACTACCTGACTGGCTGACGGAACAGCAACTGAAATCCGACTTCGGTAGCTGCGGCCCATTGCTACGAGTGTCTTGATCTCCGTGATATGGATATCCTGGATATCCTCCCGAAAACTGACATTCCACCCCTCGCAAATGGGATTGGAGGATGAATGAGGATGACAGTAAAGGTGGATAATTATACACAATTATTATGATTTCCTGATTCAAAGTAAACATTTTGGCGTTCCATCTAAAATTCACGGGGTGCAATTAGAATCAGGGTGGTCTGGGAATAGCCCATGCAAGTTCCTCAAAACGCAAATTGTCCAGTCACCCTGGGTTTGACCTCAATTCCAGGATTATGCAGACGTATTGGTATCATTGGTATCATCTTTCTCTGGAATGATGACTTCGGACTTGTCGAAGACAGCAATATTTGTAAATTTGTGGATGTGTTTTTTCTTTTTTGTTATATAACACTTGTTAACAATTTCAATATATTACAATAGTATTTTCTATCTTGAAGCCTAGTTGGGAAGATGATCCCAACCGCTCAATATTTTTTGGCAGTGGTTGAAACCACAAATTGGAACACTTTGTCCTTTTTTCATTGGCCCCAATGATTCTTGCCCACATGCAGTTGTGCCAAAGATCAGCGAACCAAGATCAACCTGTTGGTTATGAAAATTGGGTACTTCCAGTTCAAAAGGATTATCATCAATCCCCAATCTTCAGACAAACCTATGGACCTACGTATTGCTTGGACTATCAACGAAGCCGCACCGCAACTCCTGGAGTCTCCGGTTCCTCGGGAAGCTCTCTACCGTCTCTACCTATACACAAAGTTCTGATTTCTTAGGAAGGAACAGGTAATACTTGTGTATATATATATATATATTATATATATATAAATGATTATAAATGCCTATTTGCCTATCTATATAGTTCTACAGATATACAGAATATGGTACATGTAGATACATGTAGTAGTTATCGTGATCAATGCGTGCGACATTTTGTTTCCATCCTGAACCGCGTAGTGATGGTTCCATGATGTTCCATGTGGCAAGTGATTGGAATGACATCAACGTCCCAACACTCCGCATGAGACGGACGTCGAACTCCCACCCTGTCAGGCTGGGAGGCTAGATAGTTTTCTGTGGTTAGAGGAAGACATGGAGGAAGACAGGGTCGCACATCAGAGATCCCTAGTGTGTTTGCACACATACACCTGCGGATCGGATCTGGTTTTGCACACCTGTCCATCTGCATCTGGTGCATACATTCGTAATTTAAATGCACGGCTTCTCTCCTTCTCTCTATAAGCATACCAATCGGATGTGCGTCGCACTTAGCAACTGGATGATAATATACCTATCCGTCTATCCATCCGTCCATCTATCTATCGATCTAAATACCTGGGGATAGATATATTATGACCATCACTATATATCCAAGGTCTGATATAGATAATATACCTATCCAGCTATCACTATATATCTGTCAGCTAGGATCCACATCGGAGTCTTGGGAGCCGAGGCTTCAATGCCCTTGGACGGCAACGGCAAGGGCAAAGGATTTGACGCTTGGCAGTGGATCCCCAGGTGTAGCTCCATTTCCCGTTTCCAAAGGTTTACAGATGTTGACAGTCATTAGATATTTCAAACAGATATTGGATTGAATCAACTATTACGTTTGTTCATACTGCTCACTGCACTTCGGTTGGTGATGCTGGAGTTTTCGGCCAGATGCAGCCCTTCAAAGTTCAGACTGCTTTGGGTTTAGCAGTTTTGCTATTCGTCCTCTACCAATCATCTGCATCGGCGTCGCCAGCTGAGTGCCCCTTGATGTGGGCACCTCGTTGGCTCAGGCATATGTGCAATACAAGAGCGAAGATTCGGTGCAAAGGGCTTTGGAGTGGCACAACACGTGGCAGCTATGGATCTACTTAACAACATTTTTATGTTCAGCGGAGTCGAGGGTGTCCGTCCCTGGGATGGTTCCTACATGGGGATGGGTCAATACCTACGGCACCATCTTGGGACTCATCTTTAAGGGGCGAACATGGAATCCCTTGGAACATGCATGGTTGGACATCTGGGCCCCTTTATTTGAGGTGTGTCCAGCTGGGTATGATGGGTTGCAGCACTTGAGGTACAAGAGCGGCAACATCACCGTGGAGAAATATGGCGAAGAAACCAAAGGTGCAGACGATTCTTTTCTGCTTCAAATTTCGGATGAGAGTTGAGAGAGACCCCAGCTTTGAGTGTTTTCCTTGTCATTTTCTTGTACGTTTCTGGCATGAAAAGTTCAAGGAATGCTTCTGAGTAATCATACTATGCTCAGCAAGACGGTGGTTCGCTGCAGCCAATTCCATCAGAATGGTGAACATCCCACCTGGGGAACAGTCGGAATCAGATCGGTACATATCCAGCTTTTTAGGCCTCTGTGACTGTCAGTGGCGAAGGCCATTGCCATACAGCAAGGGTTCTAAACCGTGACAGAGTGGAAGGATTTGGACATGGTGGCCTTAATGATTTTTAATGAATATGTATTGAGTCGGATTCAGCTACACCAAACTGGGCATCGATATGTTGGATTAGATGTTCTGCGAGGTTTAGCAACGCTCGTCCTTGGACTCCGCGAGAGTTGGTGACCCAAAACTAGGGAACCACCAGCGACAGTTTCATTTTTGGTTGGTAGATCCATGTTGGTGGCTGATTGGGTCAGCCATGGGCTGGTTCCCAAAACCCAATGGTTGATCCACTGTTGGACAACGCCATTAGTTCGGGCTGCCCAACAACAGGTATGCTCAATGCGGAGATCAATGCCCTTTGAAGTCCCCATTTGGACTCAAAGCCATGAGTCCCTGAGATATTGTGTATACATGCATATGTAGACATAACAATGATATAACTAACATAGCCAATGACTGTATGGGTAATTGTCAATCATTAGGATCCTTCGACACAATTACTGCAATCATATGAACTTGTATCAAACCCCAGTAAATAGAATTAATATCAATTCATACCAATCATATGAAGTCCATGAAACCAAATCAAACAACATAATATCACACCACATCATGTCATATCATACACAGGTATAAATAAATAAATAACTAAATAAATAACTAAATGCAAAAATAAATATGCGATATACAGTCATACAGCATAGTTATACACAAGATCATATGAGATATTTCTGGAAATGAATTCACATGGAGTCCTTCTGAAACATCCCCAACCGCAGGCCGTGGCCGTGGACGTCGGAAGAAGGAGCCGCTGCCCGAGGGGCCCACCGTGACGGTCACCGGCTTCTCCGCTGAGGCCGTAAAAGATTGAGGATCAAGCGTGGGGTTATGGGCCAATTATGGCGATATCACCAACCTTAGTATAGAAAATACAATGAAAATCATGAAAGTACACTTGTACCACTTGTATCCCTCACTTTTTATAACCAGGTTAATCAAAGATGGGGACATTCGATGGGGATATCGCCGACGTTCTAATATGGAAATGGTGATAAACCATGGGATTAATGGGGATATTTGATGGGATCTACTCGGATTTATAGTTTGCCAACTTAATATGATTTGGGTCCAGAAATGTGACATTTACTCCCACAGTATGTGGTCACATACCGTCATTTTTATGAGGATGATAGACCAGTGGATGGAATGGGATACACGTACCAAATTTTCAGCCAAACCAAGAAAAGATGGTGATTAGACTGGCATAACAAGCAAACAACTGGGATTTTTCCGAAATTGGTGTCGTTACCAGCAAAAATTGATGGTTTAACATGGTGGACAGTAACTGGCAAAAACTATGCGTTTCATCAGCAAAAGTGTGGTTCAATGGGTAAAACACTGGGTCTTCACCAGCAAATTTTGAGTAGCAAGCAAAACAACATGGGATTTAGGATCATTATCCCATGCAAATATGATGGTGAAGCAATGACCCTTGAAACAAGATGAGGAGGAACCTACCAATTCTGGATGGTGGATTTTATCAACAAGAAATGCTGGTATGGTGTGAAATGGCTGTTTGTACGGGTGGAATTTATTGGGTAACCAGCGGTAACCATCCCAGTAGAATCATCAATGAGCCCAGCTATCTCTTCCGTCATGATACCATGCATTTGACACCCAAATTAGGTTGGACCCTTGAGAGTTCCTTTACCTGTCTTTATCATAGTTCTACTGAAGTTCTACTTGCGTATTACTGACTATTTACTGACTAGTGCTGTTCCACCAACCCTCCATGGCCGCTTACACGGGTTTTTGAACCATGATAGGGGATCCACACTCAGCTGGTACTGGAATTGGGATTGTTATGACCATCATTGTTTGAAGCCTAGTTGGGGATCAGATGTCCAATAGCCAGTCCAGGTATTGTCCGCAGCTAATGATAGGGAATCTCGGCGTGGGACTATCTCACCAACACAAAGCCATCCATTCCAGAAGCTTGATCATTTTGAGCCATACCCATTTAATCCCATTGAAATCATTTCACCCATCAATCAGCCATAATGACCCCCCATGAATCAACCACCTCTGGATTGTATCCCCATTTTTGGTGGCTAAGGCCCGTAAAAGGCTAGATATCCCCCTGCGTTTTGGCCACTTCTCTTCCTGTCGTCTCCACCTCGTTTTGGATAGAAACCACGCTACAGGTCGATGAGGAGTCACTGGGCGGTATGGATGGACCGCTATCCCCGGTCAAGGAAGTGGATCATGTGTGTGTGTGCGCGTGTGTGCTTGTAATATATATACATACACATGATTTTACAATATTATATATATACACAGTAAATGTGTATATATATATATGTATATATATATATGCATATATGTACATATATATATGTATATATATATATGCGTACAGCGTATTGTAAGATTACAGATCCAACCACTTCATGGGCATATGTGTGTCTATGCAATCGGATGCTTTTTTGAATTTGGTGGGATAGAATTGGACGCAGAACCAACGATTGGTGTTTTGGTGTTTGTCCCGAACCGGGGGATTAACATATACCCTCTGGTAGACTAACATAACTATGGAACATCACCATTTTTAATGGGAAAACTCACTATTTCAATGGCCATTTTCAATAGCCATGTAAAATTACCAGAGGGTGATCTATCGCAATTTTACAGGGAAAGGAGGTTTGCCATGGGAGTCTGGGGTTTCAACGTTGAGACAAACCCTCAATGATATGGGTGTTTGTCAAAACCCTGGTCTATAGACATTTTTTGCCTTGCCATCAGTGTAAAATTTCAAGTATTTATTGCAAGCTAGATTGCGACACTGAGATTCATGCAGGTAACCATGAAGATTGGGGTGCATGGTTTTCTTTATAATGTCTCCTGTCAACTGGCCTCCAAATTCATGTGTTGCCTGTTTGTTTATCGGTCGAATTGCACATTTATTCCATTGCCGCCAAAACGAGAAGGGTTCATGGGGCTTGGACTTTCCAGTTGCAGGCCATAGAGTGTACAAGCCAAATCAAAGTGGTCTGTGTGATGTGCTCCCCTTTAGGGTTCAATCCCGATGTGTGGCAATTGAGAACGGCGGTCGAAATCCAGGAATCATACTCAATATTACTCAATTATGTGAGCATTCTCTCATTCTGACGGATGGCTTGATGTGCTACAGGTGTAGCCTAGTATATATATACATATACAGCATCACCAACTCCTTGATGATTTGACATTGTCGAGAGCTAGAGCATAAGTTGGAGGATACATTTCAACCCATCAACTTCCTGTCACATGTACAACTTGGTGGTGTTTTGATTGAAATGTTGGAAGTGGTTTGCCATCTGAATGATGCCAAGTGCTACAGTTTCCGAGTCGTCTTACCGTTCAAAAACATATCAAACATATTCCAAAATCATGTTCCCAGGCTTAGTCCCCGGAAAAGCGAAGATGGTCCAAGCTGACACAAGGTCAAACAGTGTTGGTTTGATGGTATATACCAGCTGTACACCATTGCTGCCAGCTGAGGATGTTAAAGAAAGCCTTTGTGCCCTGTGGTGAAGTGATTGGCTGTCAGATCAAAAGCGAACGCAAGGGCCGTTCCAAGGGCAAAAATAAAGGCTTAGGCGGGGGATGTGTCGAGAACTGTCTCGAGCTGTGTTGGCAAACCGACAGATGTCCTGCGCCAGGTTGGGTGGTCTTCGCCACTGAGGAGGGACAAAAGAAAGCTGCAGCGACCATGAACGAGGAGGGGCAAAGGGAACATGAGACATACTGTGCCCCAGTTTATGGCAGGTGTTTAATGATAAGATACGAGACTCTAAACCACTGCATGGAATGGTGTATCCTATTTTTTTGAGAAACTCAGGGTACAACGTGGGATGCCACATTCATAAATGTGCGAACTCATCATGATCAAATAATATCAACCATGCTGGGTTGCCTCCACTAAAACTGCCATTTTGGGATCATCCCCATGGCCCATTGGCCCATTGGCCCATTGGGTAGGTGGACCATGTAGCCCAGTTTGGTGGCCTTCATAAGCGAGTCATGAAGTGGTCAAGATCTGGTTGGTGGTTTGGAACATTGAAAAATATAACCACATATTGGGAATAATAATCCTAACTGACTCATATTTTTCAGAGGGGTAGGTATACCACCAACCAGAGATGGTTGAGAGTTAAAAAACCTTAGAACCCCCAGGTTTTCACAGGAATCCCCACATAGTGCACCCCAAACTGGATTGTAGACGCCCACCTTCGATACACCATCAGCCATGAAAGAAATGAGTTCCTTGCGTATGGCTTGTCCAAAAAACCGTGGATTTACTATGAACACTTGCGATTTAATAGGGAAAGATGATGGACTTGGGGTACCCCATTTTCAGACAAACCAACATATCCTCGTCGACACAGGTGGAGATGTGTGGAAGCAAGATCAGGGTTCGCGAAAAAGCCGAGGAGGCGGTGTCGGGGTCAGACTGGACAACTCCGCAGATAGCAATAGTCTTTCACCTATAGATCCCATTTGATTGCCATCCCGAAAACCGGGAAAATCTCCAGCTTCCTCTTAAATCCTGTGATTTCAGATGTTTTCAGTCAATTGAGGAACGACCACGATGCTGCCGTCCATTGGATCAAACTTTGCTGAGGCCAAGCTGGACTTCAGCGCCCTTGAGGGCGAAGGTGATAAGACTCTGCTAGAAGAGGAGGAAGAAGATGCCGCTTGGTGAAGCAATGAAGGGATATGATGGGGGGTATTGCAGAAATGGATATATGATATGATATAGTATAAGGTAATACAATAGAATCGAACAGAATATAACATAACATAACATAATATCATATCATATAATACAATAAAATACAATAAAATACAATATACAATACAATATACAATACAATATGCAATACAATATACAATACAATATACAATACAATATACAATATAATATAATATAATATAACATAATATAATATAATATAATATAATACAATACAATATAATATAATATAATATATACAATATAATATAGTATAATATAATATAATAGACTATAATACAACCTAATATAGTATAATATAACCGAATATAGTATATACAATGTAATGTAAAAAATCCTGATCATAATGATAGCATTGAATTTAGCTGATTGCCCACTAACTCCAAGGGAGAATATCCAGCTTAGGCGTGGCAACTGATACACTGTTTACAGCCTATGCCTGTGCTTCACCCAGCATCCCGCTTTGCGTAGTGTTCCCCACCAGACAGATCAATTTCTGAACGATTGAGGGTCTTCAGGGGCCCAAGTTCCCATGAAAAGGAGCTCTCGCTCCATGCGGAATCCATGGGTTTTAGATGACCAACAGACCCTGGACCATTTTAGGAAATATATTCAAAGCAAAAGAAAGGTTCTCATACCCGGATGACCCAAACATTAGTACATTCTTAGTAATTAAGTGAGCTGTAATCCCTTATAACTGAGATATATCAAGGGGTACAACATATAACCAAGTTCCATCAAGTTCCTTTGCTATCACTTCCATGGGATCATCCGATTATATAAATTTTATAACAAAACAGAATTATGCATGACAATATTCCGAGCTGACACTGACTTTTTTTTGGTCATCTTTGCATGTTTCTGCCCTTCAATTTTCTTCACTCTATCCTCAGCATATCTCAGAAATCATCATCAGAATTATGAGAATCGACCGGTTGGTGGTTTCAAATGTTCGTCAAATGTCAACCCTGTTTTGAAATGATGATCATTGATGATCCATATTGGCCTATATATATTTGTATATATATATATATATATGGGGGGTATGATGGGGATGGGTGGCTGAACCACCCACCAGCTCACCTATCACCGAGGACTGGGAGAATTTTGATTGGGACGACGATGATAGCGACGACGACGATAGCGACGAGGCGCTTCCAATGAGATCCTATGCTGTCATTCACATGACTGGGTGGTGGTCTCACATACACATATTATATATATATATGTATAATTATATATATATATGTATAATTATATATATATATGTATAATTATATATATATATGTATAATTATATATATATATATATATATATGTATAATTATATATGTATGTATAATTATATATATATGTATAATTATATATATATGTATAATTATATATATATGTATAATTATATATATGTATAATTATATATATGTATAATTATATATATATGTATAATTATATATATATGTATAATTATATATATATGTATAATTATATATATATATATATATATGTATAATTATATATATATATATGTATAATTATATATATACACTTAATTATATACATATATTGAACATTTCCGAACTACAGTAGTTGTAATGATCCCAACTGACTCATGTGGTTCAACTTTGGTTGAAACTACAAAGCAGACATGTGATGTTCAAAAACATGTGTTGCCTTCTTCTAATAAAGATTGCCGTTTTGATGCGACTTCATCAGACAAGTCGCCCATTTTTCAGTTTTTCGCGGGATATCAAGGTTGCCTCACCTGCCTGTCAGTCCTGTGATCCGCACAGGGTGTCATATCCCGACCAAGAAAATTGACCAGACGACTTGACCGGGTTTCCTGGGGAAATGCCAAGGCCCCAGTGCCATGCCGACGCCAGGATGACGACGAGGACTGGGATGATCGCGATGAAGACCGCGATGAAGACGACGACGAGATGGAGGAGGTGCTGGTGGAGGTGGGGATCTGCACCATGGGTTTCTCAGGGCCTAAAGGGAGGTCTTTAGAGGTCATTGTCCAGCAACCAGGGCGGGTACAACATCACATAAAATGGGAACCAATAGTGGTATTTTATATGGAAGTGGTTACCTGAAAGTGGGGATGCCAGATATTTTGCAATTTGGGGCACAGCGCATCCTTACAAGTGAAGTCAAATGAACACCATATGAACACCTGCTAGGTAGTGCATTAGAGTTGTTTCCCAAGAACTGTGACAACCCCTCACCACTGCAGGCTCTTGGCAAACTTGAGGGGTGATTTACCGTTGACCAACCTTTCGTGGGCACCAGCTACACCCACAAAGAAAAGCCAAACAGACATTTTTGGGACCAGCCAAATCCGGACTGTGACACTGGTTTGGTGGGAGGCTAGGGAAAAAATTGAAAGCTTCACTCTGCATGAAATCAGTCGCAAACCGTCCAACGCATGTAGGATGAACCCGGAGAGGCGCAGGCGGGGAGTTCAAGCCTGCAGCATTTTCCGTGGAAATTGCGTGCAGACATCGGTACAACTGGGCCGAAATAGGGCATGCTTGGCCAGTTGCCAGCTTTCAAGTCAACTTCCAAATCAATGCTATTATTCTCTCCCAGCTTCAATCTACATAGGTTCCGGGACCTTGCAGCTTGGCTTTCAGTGCGAGCAGTTGCAAACATCAAAAGGTTTTTTTGATGTCACCCGGCAGGCGGCTCCGGCGGCAGATGTCCTCATGATTGCGGCACCTGTCGACGCTGTCACCCCTGTCGACCCCGCTGCGGCAGCCGCTGCCGCAGCTGCAGCACAGCCGACCTCACTGGAGTTAGCCATGCCCAAACAAGCGGCCCTGCCGCCGGCCATGACGCCCGTGCCGCCGGCCATGACGCCCGTGCCGCCGGCCATGACGCCCGTGCCGCCGGCCATGACGCCCGTGCCGCTGGCCATGACGCCCGTGCCGCCGGCCATGGCGGCCCTGCCACAGGCAGAGGCCGAGGTGCCACTGGCCTTGGACGTGGCACCCATGCAGATCATGCAGGTGGTACCGCCAGTGGCACCACAACCAGTCGTGCCCCAGCTCTCCGTCCCAGTGCTGCCGGATCTTCCAATGGCAGCAGCCATGCCCAAACAGCTTGCGCTGCCACCTGAGAGTGAGCAAGAGAAGGTGCCTTGTTATAGTTGATGGTGCAGTGAGAGTCGAATCATGGCTTCAGAGAAAATATTTAAACACGTTTCTTTTCGGGATCTTGTTAAACATCATTTGAACCCATGATTGTTGAATATCATTCTGCAGTATTGAATGTTTAAATGGGCCGTTTCTGTATCCCTGTGCACAGTTGTGTGGACTATTTGCCACCCTGCCTTGAATCACAACTATTAGGGGCATTATTCTCTGTTGTTTGCCAGTCACCAGGCCACAAACTCATTTGCCCTGCATATTTTCACACAAAGGTGGCCGCCCCACTTAAGCAGGTTGGTCTATTTTCACCCATCCGAGATTCCATACTTTGTAATCGCTTTCACAATTTCTTGATAGACCCAAATCATATATCAAATTGGTTACTACTATGGCATCCCCAATTAAATCCTCAGCATATCCAAGTTTATAGTGGTTGGTTTTAAAATGTTCGATATACCCCCACTACAGCACTTTCCCTACCGAGCTTCACTTGGCTGAGGTGGAGCCAGCTGTCGAGGCTTCCGCCTCAATACCGGAGGCCTCGGAGAGCAAGGAGGTGGAGAAAGGACCCGTGGATACAGCGGTTGAATGGTGCTTTTATATGCGAATTTAACCTGGGAAAAGTGGGGGATTCAAAGCCTAAAACATGGGATTTGAAGTCCCCAGAAAGTGGGACTTGATGGCGACTGACAGAGATTTGGTTTTCAAACGCAAGTGCGTGGATTTGACTGCGAGTTAAAGATTGGAGGATTTGTAATAACAGCCACAAGAAGGAGGTCAGCATGGTCGACAGCACGACCAACATCATGTCTGTTCTTGTCTGGAGCTGCTATCCATTTGCTTCTCCACTGCAGTTGATTTTTGGCAGACTGTCGTGATACTGTCGTGTGGCTAATCCACATTTTGCATTTTTGCAACAAAGCTGGGGATATGGACGGCAGGAGACTCCAAGGAAGACAGGAAACGAAGTCGCAGTAGATGCTTGGCGTGGCAGCATTGGTCAAGGTATGTCAAGGGTTTAGGGCTGCAATCATTGCCCTGAACGCCGCTGGAAATCAATGGGAATGGTGGTGAAATGCCAAGCATCCCAAGTTGTGGGGTGCTATAAATAGATCTAAAATGATCTAAATACGATGGATACGTACTGTGACATAGATTCTCAAACGATGTTTTTCCATGTTTTTCCCACTGCGACCTCTGGATTTCGGACTTCACGAGCTGCGGACTCTCTGGACTCATCGGACAAAGGAAAGCGCAGCCGAAGTCGCAAGAGTCGCAAGAGGATCCGGGGCATGCGGTAGCTGACTGAAATTTTACCATCCAGATGAGCATCCATTGCCAGCCAAATTTCGATGTGAAACCAGAGGACTCCATAGCCATGTTGTATCATGTTATAATATGGGTCGAGCATTGAGCAGAGGTCCATTTTGGCATGTTCAATCCTTGTTGAGCAGACACATTCATCTCTAGGGGCTGGATTTTGTCCACCCAACAAGAAATGACACTGCCTTTTTTTACAGCACGAACTTTCCAGGTAAAAGGGCAAAGATCCGTAAACATGCTAGATCATTCTATGAACATGATCGAAGGAAGTTTAGAAGTGAAACTTCCGACAATATGGACAGTTGAAAAGCAGAGTAGGGGAGAGGCAGAGAGAAGATGAGAAGAGAAAGAGTCAGAAGAAAGAAGATACAGATGCGCGAAAAGGTAGGAAAGTCGCGAAACACTGTGTTTTTCCAATGATTTGTGGCTCAGGAGGGTCGAAAAGTACTCCTAGTTGTGGAAGTCAAAGCGTTTCAATGAAATGTGCGTCCTAGGTGGGGGAGAAATTTCTGGAAGTCGGTGCGATGTTGCGTCCAGTTGGTGTTTAGCATGTTTGTGTTTTCTCCAATTGATGGTTTATCGTGAGTTTTTCATGGATACCATGCAGATGGTTGTAGCTATTCCCTTGTGTTTTGGGAGTTTTGTACATCACTTGTGGCTCGCTCTGTTGTGCAAGATTCATACAAACACCGACGAATACTGGGTCGATGTTATAACAAGTGCCTATGGGGAAAGGCCCGCATGGGCAGCGCCTATCACTTTAACTTACTGATGTATTTTTTGGCACTTCGCGTAGGCACACGACGCTTACCTGTCATATCTTTTTGGGTTTACCCACTATACTCCCAAAGATGAAAGTCGTGGCAATTGTATACTTGTTTGCCAAGCTTGCGTCCCTTTGTCTCCCTTCTGTCTCCCCTCTGTCTCCCTTACTCGCCTGGACCTCGTTTGGACCTCGTTTGGACCTCGTTTGCACCTCGTTCGGACCTCGCTAAAATTGCAGCCAGTCAAAGCCCAGCCCGGAGAGGTTTTGGAAAGGCTTTGCAATGGTCTGCTGCTTGGTCTGCTGCTGCTGCTGCTGTTGTTGTTGCTGCTTGTGTTGCTGCTTCTGGGCAAGGCGCGGTTTTTGGGCAGAGAAGCAAGAGATTTTGTCTGGCGTAAGCGGTGTGCCACGCGGCTGGCACAAGTTCTAGTAAAACCAAGAAGCAGAGGATTGATTTCCTGCAGGCCTATGACAAGATGAGGTCGTTGCAGTTTGTTCCGAAGAGCAAATGAGCGGAAAAAAGATAGCCGTACCACAGGGCAGAGAACGTGGATGAGATTTGCAACTGTACATTCACTTAGCAACATTCGAATCCCGAAGTCTTCCATCCCTTGTCAAATTCCTTCAGGAAAGCCACCAGAAACATTCCTTCAGATTATTATTCAGACATATTTGAGATTCATGTGTGGAGACGCGTCCTGATGGGGATTTGGAAAATTCGGCATATATTTTGCCTTGGTTCCACATATGCACTGACTTTCACGTCCCAGTGTAGGCTCGCTAAAGCGGCGGGTGCGGAGCCAGCTGGCCAGATGAGAGATGAAAAGTTGCACGCCGTTGTGGCGCGAAGCACATTTCCAAGTCAAAATGCACAAAACACACCATTCTCGGACCACTTTTGGAAGTTGCGATGTCGAAAAAGTGCACGCCGGTGTGGCGCGAAGCACATTTCGAAGTCAAAATGTACAAAGCACACCAGCGTCCGACCACTTTTGGAAGTCGAGATGTTGAAAAAGTGCACGCCGTTGTGGCGCGAAGCACATTTTGAAGTCAAAAGTGTTAAAAACTGACGGTCTCGGACCACTTTTGGAGGTTCAGATGTCGAAAAAGTGCACGCTGTTGTGGCGCGAAGCACATTTCCAAGTCAAAATGTTAAAAGCACCAGGGTCTCGGACCACTTTTGGAGGTTCAGATGTCGCTTCGCTTCGCTTCATTACACTACACTACATTACACTACACTACACTCCACTACACTACATTACATTACACTACATTCCACAACACTACAACTACAACTGCACAACTACATTGCACTACACTCCACTACACTAAATTACACTCCACTACACTCCACTACACTCCACTACACCAAATTACACTACAGTACACTACACTACACTCCACTACACTACACTACATTACACTACACTCCACTACACTCCAGCACACTAAATTACACCACACTACATTACACTACACTACACTACATTCCACTACACTCCACTACACTACACTACAACTACAACTACACAACTACACTCTGCTACACTCAAGTACAGCACACTACACTACATTACACTACGCTACACTCCACTACACTACACTACATTACACTACACTACCTTCACTACATTACACTACACTACATTCCACTAGATAGATAGGTAATTAGATGAGAGAGAGAGAGAGCGATAGATAAATACATAGATAGATCGGTAGGTAGGTAGGTAGGTAGGTAGATAGTCAGAGAAAAAGAGAGAAAGAGAGGAGACCTCAAGCACCTTTCGGTCCGTCAGTGGCTTCGCTCTGCCATCCCTGATTCACAACAACCAATCTCTCCTATAGGTTTCCTATTTTTGAAACTTCCGCCACCGCCTTGTGCGGTACTACTGGTACCCTTTCATCCCCTTTCCAAAGTTAAGGATCCATATGGGCCAGGGTGAAAAACATCATTTGTTTTTCCATAAAAGGGATGAGCATCCCCCCCGGTTATTGGGCTGATTGGGCTTATTATAGGCATCAGAAGGAATTCCTACTGATGATGGGATGCTGATGCCCCAGATAAAATGTTTTGACCATTGCACATCTAGGATGACCAAGGACAGACAGAAAATTCAAGCAATGAAGGATGTCCATCAATCCAACATCTGGTGTGGTTTGGTCTTGACCCATACCCATATGTTACCCGACAATTCCATGGGTTAAAGCCGCACTTGCCGCATTAAAGTAGCCAGATACAGATTAATCCACCACTTTAGATCAAACCCGCATGATCTTGTTGGTCATTATATCACATCATTCCCATATCCCACCACATGCCCACCATATGCCCACTATATCCCCATAAATGGGTGGAACGCCCACCCAAACTCCACACTGTTTGGACGCAGGAGTCGCAGCCGACGCCGCCGTCGACCAGTGCAGGAAGTGGAACTGACCACGCAAGAGCTGCTGGGCACTGTGAGATACGTCGTTGCGAGGATTTTCCGCAAGTACCAAAGTGGGTTTTGAAGCAAAAACACTTGGATGTTGACTCCATTGACAGGGTCAAACAGTATATGGATGTATATGTAGGGTACTTTGAATCAGAACATGTGAGTGAGCATGATAATGGACACTGAGATTGTGCATTTGCTAACTTTGGGTGTACAGTTTTGGCCCAAAAACATATCCAGGATTTTCAGCACCAGATCAAGTTGGTGTAGCCATTGCCAATGTTTGCCGTGCCGATAAAAAGGGTCCACTCTTGCACTAGGTCAATCTAAGGCTCTAAAGACCCGGATTGCTTTGAGATATTCATTTTGGGACACCAATACCCCAGATCTGGTCTTCAAGAGGCCAAGACACCATCAATTTCATCCCCTCTCACCCATCCAGTGGGATCCGACTAGATCCAGTGGAATCCCAAACATTCCACCAGCGTTTCTGCCGGGGGTTCTTGCTGAGGGAGATTGTCATCACGGACCCAGAGGGGCAAAATGTGCCGCCGGTCGCCTTCGAAACCTTCGATGCTTGTCCCTTCCCAGACGAGATCAAAGATGAGGCGGGAAACAGGATAGGATACTCCGATATACTCCTTGCCTCAGGGTACTACATGATAGGGACATTGGGACATTGCTGTATAATGAGGTCACCAAAAATGATGGGTAGTAACCGGGTATGGGAGATCATCCCCTAATGGAGTGATTTCTGATTCGGGAATTCTGGGAAAAGGACAAGTAGAATGCCGCACAAATTCTGAGGACGATTTGCCAAAGCTGGAAAGAAACTGGCGATAGAAGTATCATGAAGTATCGATAATTCATGATAATTCATGATAATTCATGACAATTCATGATCCACTACACATGGCTGTTGAGGCAATATATTCCACACCACAACTTTGTGGATTTTCAGAGGTCAGCACTGGTCAGGTCCGACGTTCCGGCTTTGTGAAGCCCAGCCCCATCCAGATGTATTCGTGGCCTTTGGCCGTTCAGGGCAAGGTGCCATTGCTCAAATTGCGGCCAAGAAGTGTGGCTGAAATACGTTCAAGTGTGTTGAAGTTGGGAGGGTTCATAGTGGACATTTGAGGAAGTTTGTTGAAATTGGAGGTTTCATAGGTTCCAGAACTGTAGAAAACATGGTGTATTGAACATCCCTGAGCAAATCCCTTAAACTAATCCATTGAACAGTTGATGCACCAGCTTCTCTGAAAAACTCTGCTCCTAGATCAGTGTGTAGATATGTTACTATGAATGGGACATGAGAAGCAGCTGAACATTGCCGCGCATCCAACTCAGTTTTGCTGAAGTTATAAACCCTACATTTGATGATACATGCATGTATCCCATTAGATCCCATCAAATATGCCCATTCTATGGATTCTTCTTATATGGCAGTGTGTCAAAACCTTGTACCCCTGTAGTTCACATCAAAATAGCTGGGATTTATGGATGTTCCCCTAAAAATGCTATTTTCATAGGTATTGATCCATACCCATATGGATCCATATTTTACCCACATCAATCTTCGCAGGACATCATCGGCATTGCGACCACCGGCAGCGGCAAGACGGTGGCCTTCCTTTTCCCCGCCTTCAGGTCCCCGACCATCAGCTCGAAAAGGAAACCATGAGATGGATGAACTGATGATAATCGATGATAAACTAACAAAAATCTATGGAAAGATCCACCATTTTCAATGGGTAAATGCATTATTTCAATGGGCCATTTTCAATAGCTATGTTAAATTACCGGAGGGTAATCTATGATCATTTGATAGTTGATGGGGATTTTGTGTGATATCATATGCGACCTGGGGATACCGTATTTTCAGAGAAACCCACAGGGATAGCGTGAGTCAACCAGATCTTTATTACCCGGGGGCAAACATCCGAGTTTTTTCCCACATGGTTTGGATGTGCCGGCTCTTGCAACATCTCGTTTCGTAGGCACATCATCGAGACGAAGGCCAAGCCAGACGATCCGCTGCTGCTTTGCATGTCGCCCACACGAGAATTGGCCGTTCAGGTGGAGAATGAAGCGCACAAATTTGGTGCCTTGGTAGACTATGCGGCCGACACTTTATGGGACATGTTCACCCTTTCGGGGTTGGCTTACTATGTTTTTTTTTTTGTAAGATTTGATTCGATTCTGGGCGACTATAGGGAATTATATAATGCAATGAACATTAGAATTCATTGGGTTCAACGGGTTCCGTACTTGGCTAGCCAGTACGGGTGATTGGCAAATGCTTTGCACGTGCTATATAATTAATGTGTGTGCATTTTGCAAGATAAGGCTTGGGGCAACTTTCAGTTCTTAAGACGAGAATTGATAGCAACAGTAGGAATTTAGATGTTCAGCTACTATACATGATAAACCCATGGATATTCCCATATTATACCCATAACAATGGAGTGTACATCCACATGACAGTTGCTTATTGGACCTCCGGTATCGACTCTTGCAGGGCATTTCACCATGGCGCCAAGGCAAGCACTGTGGCATCGTCACCGTGTGTGTCTATGGAGGTGTTGGCAACAAACGCCGCCTGGTGAGAAGTGACCAGGGGGGAGGTTGGGATTTGTTAAAACACAATGTCCATGGATATCCAAAATTCCAATGGCTTATCATAGTCTTCCCCATTATATATAATGTATATATTATATATAACGTATATATATATAATATAATATATATATATATATGATTATATATATATACGATTATATATATGATTATATATACACATATAATTACATAGAATTGAAGTCCTGTGGTTTTCACAATTTTTGTGCAAAGCCAAGAGTTGATTCCACATCCACTGCCATCCCCTCAATGTCTATATGTGCCTATCTCCACGTGCAACCGTGACCATCCATCTATAAGTCAAGAGCGGTGGTTTCTTCATATCCAATAATTTACTCCTGTCGTGACAAAGGTGAAACATTTCTTCATTTGGTTGAGGCTTTAAAATACACTGGAATGTGATTTAATTTATGCCATACCAACATGAACAATAGCCATCTCGCATTTTGTTCAAGATTTGCTCAAGATTCATCATTTTTATGTCTCCCACTGTTGTTTGTATTTCAGTGAAAATAGTGGACTACACCCAGATAGGATCAATACCAACCAGTAGAGGGTTACCGACATGTTGCTCCTGCATCGCTCGGGGCCCTTGAAAGAATCTGGAAGATGTAGGGCTGGGTCAGATTTGGGGTTTCGGATCGCCAAACTGAGGTGACCAGGGACGTGATTTGGCCAAAGGCTGCCATTGTTTGGTCGCCACACCAGGCGCACAAACCACCAAAGACACCAAAAGACATCGTCAAATGTTGGTTTGGTTTTGTGATTTGCAAGATGGATCATGCGTTGGAGAGATGGTCCACCTTCGGTTTGATGGAAACAGTGTTGCAACAGTCTCTTCGCATCCTTCAGACTTCGTGTTTGTGAACCGTTCCAACATGCTTCAGCTGAATTTCTACTTCGTGAAGTTGGATGTTTCTGGCAGATTTTGGCACATCCACGTCCCAACCTGCACGTATTTCATGTTGATGATCCTACTTGGCAAGAAGAACTGGTCAGCTGGATGATCCACTTGCAGAAACAGCCCTGACCTGATTGAAAGCTTGCTGCTAGGACGACTCAATGATTTCGTGGAAGGGAAGGAGGTTCGACTTGGCAACTTGGATTTGATCTGTGTCAATGAGCCATGACTAGTCGAACCAGTGCCAGTTGCTTTGGTCCCATGGGCTTGGGTCCCAGGCAACGTCTCTCGCTTGGTGGTGGACGAAGCTGATCGCATGTTGGCAGCTTGGCAACGGTGCCTCTGAGCTGATTTGCTCAGACTAAGATGTGGCTATGAGTCAAAACCCTGATACCCGGATGGTACCCTAAGTTGGTTTATGGATGTTTATTCCCCCAAAACATGGTAATACTATAGGTTTTGACCCATCCCCATGTTGAGATGTAGTTTTGATGATGTTTTGATGATGTTTCATGATTTATCAAGCGCATGAATAAGGATGAATAAGATAGGGAGGCCCCTGGACGGCTGGTAGGGGCGAAGCTGAATGATTATAGATGAGGATCTGCTTGATAGTTGTGAATCAAAGAGAGTGGCTTGACCCTTCGGTTGCGTATGACTATGGTGATTCTGCTGTTTTTCATTGCTATGCTATGGTTGTGATCTAGACATGAAGGATCGTTCAGTCAGAAGACCTCCCCAGTATCAGTAAATCATCAGAGGCAGAACGCCTTGCCAAGGACATGGGTTTTGAACCTCAAATTCGCAAGGCCGTCAAAGAAGTGAAGGATGGGATGCTTGCAGGGGATGTTCTGGGAGGTTTGCTTTGAAACGACATCCTCAAAGGCATAAAGAAAATTAAAGAAGTGGGGTGAGGATATGTAAGGAGAAATGCGAAAAAAAAGATGGAAAACAAAGAATTTTACCCAGGGAACAGAAATCTCCAAGCCAAGCTGAAACAGTAAATGGTAATGTTGACCCCAGATTCATAAACACCTGCGCTTCCCTGGGCTTCAATTTGGGGGGTGCCATTTTCTTGGCCATGTATCCAAGAATTTTGGTGTGAACAATTTGTAACTGACCAATGAACAAATCATGATTATAATGATATATATATATATATCATATCATGATCCTGGCTATTTAAGTAAGCATTTAGCCTCAGAATGAATTTGATGTGTCATGGCTATTTGACTCTGATTCTACCTTGGTTGCTTCGCCATTTTCATCGTTGGATCCAGGAGAAGACTGAGCGTCAAACGCTGTTCTTCACGGCCACCTGGAACGCCAACGTGCAGAAGATCGCCGCGGACTTTCTGAACAAGCCGTACCAGGCCGATCTACGTTTGGGTTGTGGGGGGGTACAACATACCAACAATTTTTCGGGGATATGTATATGATATATATATAACTATGTATAGTATAACCATATATAATATATAATTATATACACATACACATACATACATACATGCATGCATGCATGCATGCATGCATGCATGCATGCATACATACATACATACATACATACATACGTATATATAGTATACGCAGTTATGTACAGTATATATCATTATACATGATATAATGGGATGATATAATCAGTAAGGGCAGTACGACGACCAAACATCTTGGGGATTTAATCCAACATTTGTTCAATGCAGCTTAATCAAGCAACTATTGGGGAGGAACGTATGGATGTTTTCCCAAAATTGGGATACCTCAACACCATGGGGTTTTCCCGTTTTCCCATCAAACATGACCACGGCCAACTTGGATGATTTGGAGGCACCTCAAATTTAAAGAACTCCCCCATCTGGGTTCATCACAATCTAACTACCATCCGACGTCACCATGTTGATGATAGTGTATCCATTGGGAATACATAGGACCTTAAAATCCTCAGGTTGGCGATTTGATATAACTCAGCAGAGATGATGCCACCCACAAGGGGTGTGTGGGATGGACGACTTTTTCCCTCAACAAAAGCTATTCTGAAACTGGAGTGGAGTTGAACCCTTGGCAGTTGCAAAATCTCGGAAGCCCCTGGAAATACGCTTAGGGGACGTTGGGGAATGGATGGGAATGGTGAACTCACCTCACTCATAGGATTTGCTCATGCAAAGGATATGCTGGCCTCGTAGAGTGAACATTGGTTGTCCAAGGTTTAAGATGGTTTAAGATGGTTTAAGATGGTTTAAGTCAATCATCTGCATGGGATTAAATCATTTCTTCGGCCATGGAGCGTTGTTGATATCCAGGGATTTATTTTTCTTCCACCCATGACTATCATATAGGTTTGGTCATCCCCTCACCAAAAGTATGTAGATACATGATTCTACCATTAACAAGCGGATTGGTTAAAGGGAGCATCTAGCCCGTTGTCTATCATATATATATATACATTCCCAGATAGAGATATTCCCAATATATTCCCATTATATTGCCAAGAACTGCCTTTTTTTAATGGTTTTTACCATCAAATCCCTGCGCGCTCAAACACCAGGTAAAGATTGGCAGTTCGGAGCAGCTCAAGGCGTCCGACAGCATCAAGCAGGTGGGGCATCCCAATTCATTGTAGGAGATTATGGAGTATGGGGATTATGGCTCAGAACTATTCATGTATCATCATGAATAATGAATATATATATATACATATTCTAGATTGAGAAACGGGCTGACATCTTGTATTCAAAATGATTGATCCACCAATGTTGGATTGTTGGATGGTTTTAACAGCAAAGAATGAGCAATTTGGTGGCATTGGACCCCGAGGTTCGACATGGACCCATGCTATGGATCAAAATCATGTGAAACTCAACAATGTGCAAACTTTCCAATCGTTCGGTCTGGAAACATTACCCATAATATCCACAACCACATGTGTATGACACATATATATATAGAGATACATATATACACATACACATGTAATTAATTATATAAATACATACATTCACGTTATTGCAGGTTGTGTCCGTCGGTTGACGCAGAAGAGGTGATTGATGTCAAACATGATGAGGGCTTTTCAAAATGACCGGGTCATGGTTTGGGAGACAACTCAACCCTTCCACTGATAAAAGTGAGTCAAGTCGGGCTGGCGAGTTTTGCTGGCGACCAGGGGACACACTTACTGTATATAATCCGATGTGAAGTTCAATTTATCCTTCAATCTGACCTGTTTTTCGAAACACTGCTTGGCTGGACTTGAGATACCCTTCTCATTCTTGAGTCTTTGAGGAGCAATATCTGCAAGATCCTCGGTGTCTTGTTGTCCCTTTGCCATCGAGTGTTTTCATTGATAGGTTCCACCTGGATTTCCTTTATGAACATTGAGCTGTTCAAAGTCCCACGGTTTATTCATATCATCTAGCAAATTAATTGGAATGGGTGTTTTATGAATATCCCCAATTCGACACATGTGTAGTCTCTGCTCAGTTGGTCAAGATTGTGGACCCGGACAAAAAGGTCCGCCACCTGACCAAACTCTTCTTGGAGTATGCGCCTTGGACGGTGAAACACCTGGCTATGTGAATGGATGTTCTTCGGAAAACCAGTTGGGTGAGACAGGCCCCTTTAGATTTGGGGAAATACTACAGTACTCATATGACGTACCCGAAATTGGAGAGATCCAAGCAGAGGAAGAAACAACCACAATTTTTGAGAGATGGATGATGCAGGAAGTATTTGAAAAGAGGACATGAGGTATGCTGGGCGCTTTCTTTCTACAGCCCCTCTCCACCCGGTGGGGACCAGATCCATGGCACCCAGTTGGTACACCGTCGATCCATGCAAGCGAACTAATTGTCACAATTACCTTTTTAATGTGTTTTAATACCAATCTTTGATTTTTCCAACATGTTATCTGACCTATTTCTTGGTGTTTCATTTACGCTCTCTTAATGGGTGTTCAGTCTAAGTATTGACAAAGATGTGGAAGACTGGCCCTTTGGAGAAGTCGCCAAGGACATCTCTGAGAAGGGTCGTGGAGAAAACCGTGCCATGATCTTCTGCAACAGCAAAAAGATGTGTCAACAACTGGAAGATGGTCTGAATCGAGCGCGTGTTCGCTGTGATTCAATCCATGGCGACAAGGACGAGTTGTGTGGTGCGAACGGTGATTCATGAAGATTTCAGCATGGGAACGGTGAGTGAGATGTAGGTGAAAAAATGGGCATTGTGGGGATGCAATTTTTTAAGCGGAACACATGTGGGAATGATGCCGGACAAATCTCAGCCATTGTTTTCATTGCACGGATAATTGAGCTATCACTTCTGCGCGCTGGTAGCTTTGACCTGCTTTGATCCGGGGTGGACCATGGAGAGTGCAGCCGTCAGTGCCATAAACCCCTCGAAGTTTCACAGCCACCTTGTGGAGGAACAGAAAGACCGTGAACGAGCTCTGAATGATCTTCGCGATGGATACACCAAGATCATTTGTGCCACAGCCTCTCTGCAAGCGTTGGGGGCCGGGCGAGGGAGAGGCGGTTCTCATGTTTCTTTGGCAGCGATTCCGACAGTGAACTCAGTTTCATTTTTGATATGTTGTGATTATGCTTGAAAGGCACTCCAAGGATCCTTCACATCGCCATTAATCATACCTTTTGGCTCTCACATTTTTCTTGCTCAAGATCTACATCTGCTACATGCAAGTACCTGCGGAGTAGTCGAATATTTTTTGACGTGTGGTCTTGCACGACAGTCGCCCCAAATCCGGATAAATCTATCTGTATGTCCATAATATGGATATGATCAATGATATAATATATGAAATAATATATATATATATATCTGGGTAAATTATAACGACCTCACTGCGACCTCACTGGAATCATGATTAGTAAGGGAAATCATCCCCAAATGGCCTTAATTCAGGTTAGTGAAATATTATAATTTACCCGGATATATATATATGTAACATGGTTTGCTTTTTCCAAAGAGAACATCCTTCTGTACTGTGAACTTGGAGACAAATTTGTGAGAGACTCGCAAGTCCGTCAAAATTCACAGATTCTAGAATTAGCTTGAGGAAACGTGGGAAACCCAACCAAATTTGATGATTGAAAAACATTATTTCCTTTAAACATCCCTCAAATGAATCAATTTCAAATCGAATTCTGAAGTCGTTGATCTATTATAATTCATTTTCGGCATTTTCATCAACGTTCGTTGATTTTTGGTAGATCTTCATCCCTTTTCATGTGTTTTCAATTTGTTCCATTTTCCCTCCATGTTAATCCATTTGCACTCATTCTCCCATCCAATTTCATCCATATTTTATCCATCTGTCATCCATTCTTCATCCATTTTTCATCTCATTTCTCATCCATAAAATTCCATAAAATTTCCATAATCTAAATGGATGGTTCTTCCGTATCTAATTCCATATCTAGATATGCACCGTTCATCATCATTCCATAGATTTTCCCCATCGATGTCTCCAGGACGTTGCGGCCCGCGGCCTGGATGTGAAGGGTGTGACCTTGGTCATCAACTACGACCCGCCCAAGAATGCGGAGGAGCGGCCCAAAATGGTATATGTCATATCATTCATATATATATATATGTGATGATGATGATGATGATGATGATGATGTCGATGATTTCACATGGTTTCCCAACTACTGTATGTAGAATAGTTATGACTGGGATAATGATAATGGGGTTGAATGAGGGATATAATGAGGGTTGTACTGGGGGTTGCGGCAGATAACCTTGGGATTTAGCCAACTACTCGTGTTTTGATGGCATAAAATGGAATGCAAAGGGAGAATGGGATCTAGTGGGACAAATATCAAGCTTGATATGACTTGGGATGTTCCCAAATTGGAGAATACCCTACAAATCCCTACAATTCTGATTTTAACATCATTTTCCACAGCATGATACTTTGGGCTTTCCTATTTCCGTCCACGCTGGGACAGTCCAATGGCTCGCAGTGTGCCGCGGACCATCCAAGAGGTATGTAACCCAGGCAACACGGATTTTTAATGAACCATAGCCTCTGGTAAACATACAAAAAGCTATGGAAAATGGACATATAAATAGGAGTTTTCCCATTAAACATGGTGATTTTCCATAGTTATGTTAGTTTACCAGAGGGTATATACTATCAGAAAGATTTGATATTGATATACCGTACCTAAAATGATACAACCGGGTCCCTGACAATGTTTATATTGCAGATATCATAAATGCAATATAACCAAGGGAGATGTTCAACCATAAGTAGAAGCACCCCCCAGTGGTCATGAAAGCTGGGTTTTGCATTGTAGGTGGATAGTAAAAGGATTGAACAAAAAGGACTGTACATGGATGATACTGTAGATGGGTAGATTCCCTACAATAGAAAGCTGACTACCCCCATCCCCCAAATGATACTATAGAGACTGTAGTATAGAGGGAGATGTTTATCAATAGGATTATACACACACAAACAAATACATGTACATACGCACCTTCCACAGCTGGGGTGTCTATTTGCAATCTGGTAACTATATTTCCGAAGTTGCACTGATTACCAAACAACTATTGTTGCATCGCAAGACACAACGCCGTCCTTTTCCCACATTCCTTCGGGTGAACGATGTGGAAAGCTGCTTTTCCGAACCCTTGAGAAGCGGCGCAGGACTATGTGCATCGCATTGGGCGAACGGGCAGAGCTGGAATGAAGGGTAGCATGGAGAGCATGGTGTCCAAAGATCACCGTACAGTAGACAGCGGGGAAAATCTCATTGGACCTTACCAACATCTCAACATATTTCGATCAATGATCGTAGTGGGCCACTGGCCATGCTTTGACCGTTTTGAAGTACTGTACCTTAAGTTTAAATGTTCCAACCCAGAAAATGGGCCTGTCAAAGTCCTTGCAGGGACAGTGAGTGATGGTAATATATATATATTTATATATTATATATATATATTTATTTATTTATATTGTATAGTATATACTGTACTGTACATACTATCAACCGCAGCAGTAACAGCACGGCAGTCACTCCTGTGCCATGGATCCAAGGTACAGCCGTCACCTTCTTGTCGGATCGGGATGACTTTCAAGCCCGGCAGATCAAATCGGTGATGCTGCGGAACAAGCAAGAGATCCCCAGAGAACTTCAGGCAGAATGGGTTTAAGCATTCCACTTTGTAGCATGTTGCTGGATGAGGACTTGGACATTTTGCTGAAACATAACAGTAGGGTAGCTGAAATCTGACAAGGTAGTCTGGAGAGTGGTTTTATATTTTGTCTCATTCCAGAACAGTCCCATGTAAAAAAGACAACAACACACCTTGGTTTGAACTTTGATTGTCGCTGAACAGATCACTTGAAACAGGACAAACCAAATCCGAGTTTGTGTGATTTTAATTCAATCCCATCCGCAACGCAAGTCTCTCACTGATGTTGGATATATGATCCCTACTCCAACCCCGATCTTAACTCAGAAGATCGCAGGCCCTGTCTGATGGCACTTTGCCTCGTCGCCGTCGCAGCCGCTCCCCGCGACGCAAGAGCCGTTCGCGGCGCCGTAGCCGTTCGCGGCGGCGCAGCCGTAGCCGTCGCAGCCGGTCGCGACGGCGCAGCCGGGACAAGCGCAGCCGTGACCGGAAGAGCCGTGACCGGAAGAGCCGCGACCGGAAGAGCCGCGACCGGAAGAGCCGCGACCGGCGCAGCCGAGATCGCGAGCGGCGCAGCCGGGAACGGCAGAAGAGTGAAGGAAGAGACAGGTCCAAGTCCAGAGACAAGGATGAGCCACAAGAGAATGGCAAGGCTGAGCCACAAGAGCCAGTGAAAGCAATTGTGCCACATGTCCCACAAACGCAACCAGTAGAGGCTCCTGCACAACCACAGGCAGTGCAACCTCCAGCGGTTCCTCAGTTCCAATATCCATTTCCTCAAGCTTTGCCGTCGCAGCCAGCGCAAGCTCAGCATGTGCCGCACATTCCGATGCCATCCATGCCTCAGATCCCGCTTCCAGGGATGCCACATGCCATGCCAGCGACTGCGCCTGCGCAACCATTTAGTTGGATACAGCCAACAGGGCCTGCTACAACTCCAGCTGCCCCTGCCCCATTCATGGCACCCCTAGCGACTGCCCCTGGATTCCCGGCCTTCGGAGCACCAACCGCTCCGCCAGCTCCGCAAAGGTATAGCTGGCTCCAATAGAAAATTCGGGACGGATCGAGATCATCTTGATCCTTAACCCCCCAAATAGTTGAACAATACATCAAAAACTAAAACAATTCATATATAAATTATACATTTAATACAATTATAATCAATTATATCTACATATGTATATTTATGATCTGGAATTAAAGATATGATAATTGATTCGAATATTAAATATACAGGCAGCAATTTTAGTCGTAACGATTTTATTTGTTTGAGCTCTTGCTAATGGGGAGCTTTGTTTGGGAGGTCGTAATGATTTTTATTAT